TGTGTGTGCTCGGCAGTGAATGAACACCTGAATTATAAATAAATTAAGCCTCTTTTGGTTATACTTTTTGTAGCTGTGGGGTCGATCGTATCAATATGAAGAAATGGAGCCCCGGTAAGACACTTCTGTACTATTTTTACAAAAGTTAAAATCCTATCTTACATGAGAACTTAGTCGGGAAAAATATAGTTAAAACCTATCTTACATGATACCCACACACCAGAAGATGAGACATGACGTTTCGATCCATCCTGGACTATTATCACGTAGATTTAATGGTCCATTATCAAGGACTACCACAAGTCGATTGTGGTAATGGTACATTATCACAATTGACTTGATAATGGTCCAGGACGGACCAAAACGTCGTCGTCTTCTGGTCTAAAGTTTAGTTCTAATATCTTCAAGCCACGTTATTGTGACTCATCGTCTGCACCAAACTTATATATGCCTAGGTCTAGTATAGCACATATATATACTATATTAGGCCTCAGATAGCGTATATCAGGCCTTGGATGGTTAGGTAACTTTAGGTTTTATTAGCAATATAAATATAAAAACCCGATTTATGCAAATTTCATACAACAAAAGTCTAGTTTGTGGAGGAGCATCATGACATACTTTTAATTTCGAGCACATATTTACTGTAAGTACTTTCATTTTCGGGAGATGAGGTGAATTGGTTGATGGTGATTGGGAGAGCATGCGTGGTTAGGATGTAATAAGCTGTGAGGGGACAATGGCGTCTTGCAAAAATAATTACAAATTTTAGGGTTGTCAAGATTACACACTGTCTTAGTATAATAAGACCGTCTATCTTGATTATCAGTAAGAATATTCGATAAATACATTGCTACTTTCCTGTTACCATAAAACTACCATAAATTCACCTGACCCAGTTTAGAGTAACAAAGCCTAATGTGACAAGTCGGCCAATTGATTGATTGATGAAGATTAAGCCACCCAAAAGGTGGCACGGGCATGAATAGCCCGTAAGTGGTGGCCCTTTTTGAGCCATTACCAGTATCAAGAGCTGATACTGGAGATCTGTGGAGGCGCGACTGCACCCTGCGTGACGGGAGATGTCTCCCGTGAAGTCGGCCAAACATGCTCCACTCGTGACTAATGCAACGCCAGGTTCCCAGAAGCCTAACTAGGCTGGAGGAGGGACTTGGGAACAGTATATTCGTCACAATACCACTCCATGGAGGGAGATTAAAAGCAAAGAATGTATTACCTATTTGTTTAATTTTAAGTCAAATAAGTAATCTAATTACGAAGAGAAAAATAGATCATAGAGATAACAGAAACGCGGAGAACTGAGTTAGGACAGGAAGGAGTTACAGGGTAAGATAGATAGTAGGGGACAAGTTAATAACCACAGTATTGGATAACTAGTGAGCATATGAACACGGGCGGTTGTATAGGATATGAACCTTGGTAAAGTGAAAGGTAGGCAGAAGTCTGTGTGGAGGAGAATGTGCCGGCCAGGAATCTAATACTAACACTGCTCCGGCCACCTGCGGCAAGCTATCATTCACCTCACACACACGCACTCCAAGTAAACATTGTTTTCTTAAATTGGTTTGAAAGCAAGAGGTTGGACAAGCTTACTCATACTGATGACAATTTGGGTGTGGGTAGAGAGCCCCCACACAGGCCTTGGGACCAATATAGCGGTGATGACGGGCTCACTATGACCTACATCTATGCCCTCATCTCTTTATTTCTCGGGCCGCTGCCAGGCCGTAAGGGACTCTCAGATGGTGTTTAAGATTCGCTACTTGGAACAAAAAGCTCCAAGCAGCACGGGCTACGGTGAGCCCGAAGACTGTCAGATGGTGACAATGTCTCTCTACTGCCGTCTGTCAAAAAAAAAAAAAAAAACAGGGGTATGTCTATGAACTTGTACAATTTTTTTCTTACATTTAAAGACAAACACTATATACACGAAAGCCTTCTTCTGTATATATAATTTTTGAACGTCTTCAGAAGTACTGAGAATGCGTTAGAGATATACACAGATAGGAATAGATAAGGTATATGTGTGAGGTGGAAAAGCAGTCTTAATAATGAGAGAACTACTACCATTCGGCGTTACAGCCCCGCTCCTGTGTCAGGTGAGTTCACTACGGGATCACCATAGCCCGTGCTACTTGGAACTTTATGTTCCATTCGGACAATATAAGTAACAGCTGCCTCGTTGGAGTTAATAGGCTTTCTGCAGTTGTCTTTGTTCTTATGTTCATAAACACTAACCAAAAATTGCTTCTCCGATATATAAACACAGGTGTTGTTGTTGTTTCAGATTAAGCTACTCAGAACGAAGTGTGCATGTAGCACGGGCTATGGCGAGCCCGTGAAACACAGTTTTGTTTTAGTGTATATATATGCAAGCTCGCCATAAACACCTGACAATTGGGTACGGAGAGAAAACATGAGAAAGCAAAGTGAAGGTGTTATATATTCGCTGCGTAACTCCTCTCTCTCTCTCACCTTAATAATGTCTCTATCACTCTTCCTCCATAAGACTACTGATAATACTCCTTGAAGGTCCAACGTCGTCAAGTCTTCACTTAAGAAGTGTGGCTCCGGCATCATATGAATTAGTTAAGACGAAAATCTCTCTTTTTCTGGGTTTTCCCACCCACCAGTCATTGTCTGTTTCTGCCGCTCGTACATATATGTAATATTATTTGTGTGTGTACTCGCCTATTAGCGCCTGCAGGGCCGAGCTCTTAACTCTTGGACCTCGCTTTCCTAGCTCTTGGTTGTCGAATACAACTGCTACAATGACTCCTGGCTTATTTTCCTATCACACCTGCTTTTAAATCTTAGGGTAAGAGTTATCAATCTTACAACATATCATGTAAGGTATTCAACCTAGCATGTCGCATGAATTAGCATTCCACGTACGTTAGCATGGCAAGACTGCCTAGTGGCGTATCTTAGCATACAAGATACAACTTAGCATTTTGCATATTCTAGCATAGAAAACAGCCTAACAATTTGCGTATGCTAGAATACAAGACACAGCCTAGCATTCTACATATCTTACCATGCAAGACACAGCTACGCTACGCGGAGAGACTACGGGAATTAAACCTCACGTCGCTAGAAGACAGAAGAGTTAGGGGGATATGATTACCACGTACAAGATTCTCAGAGGAATTGACAGGGTAGATAAAGACAGGCTATTTAACACAAGGGGCACACGCACTAGGGGACACAGGTGGAAACTGAGTGCCCAAATGAGCCACAGAGATATTAGAAAGAATTTTTTTTAGTGTCAGAGTAGCTGACAAATGGAATGCATTAGGCAGTGATGTGGTGGAGGCTGACTCCATACACAGTTTCAAGTGTAGATATGATAGAGCCCAATAGGCTCAGGAACCTGTACACCTGTTGATTGACGGTTGAGAGGCGGGACCAAAGAGTCAAAGCTCAACCCCCGCAAGACACAGCCTAGCATTCTGCGTATCTTACCGCACAAGACACAGCCTAGCATTCTGTGTATCTTACCGCACAAGACACAGCCTAGCATTATGTGTATCGTACCGCACAAGACACAGCCTAGCATTATGTGTATCGTACCGCACAAGACTTAGCCTAGCATTCTGTGTATCGTACCGCACAAGACGCAGATACATAGTACTGTGAAATGCTCAGCTTACCGGGCTGAGTATTGAACAAAAAACATTCGGCCTTGGTTTTTGTATGCAAGATACATCGTAACATTTTCCTAGACACATCAGATATGCAACATAAACATAATGTATTATACAGTGTGTCCCACATTCTAATAATGCAACACGGAGCTTATTGTAGGATACAGGTGAAGCACCACATTGAACAAATCCACAAGGGCCGTGACGAGGATTCGAACCTGCGTCCGAGAGCATCCCAGATGCTGCCTTAATCGACTGAATTGTAACCAGAAATTCTTGCAATTCTTATACCATGTCGTAGCTCAGTCGATTAAGGCAGAGTTTGAGATGCTCTCGGACGCAGGTTCGAATCCTCGTCACGGCCCTTGTGGATTTGTTCATTTGATGCATCACACTATTGTGATTTCTGTGTTGTGATGTTTATAGAATTATAATACGTTATGGTTTTTAGGTAAATCATTTACTGTAAATTTGTGTCAAGTGACCCGACTTTAAATATACAAATATTGATGAATAAAGTATTTTAATTATATCGCTCATAATGTGCAACATAGCGCCAAACATAGTACTAATTCTTCAACCCCAACATAGTACTAATTCTTCAACCCCAACATAGTACTAATTCTTCAACCCCAACATAGTACTAATTCTTCAACCCCAACATAGTACTAATTCTTCAACCCCAACATAGTACTAATTCTTCAACCCCAACATAGTACTAATTCTTCAACCCCAACATAGTACTAATTCTTCAACCCCAACATAGTACTAATTCTTCAACCCCAACATAGTACTAATTCTTCAACCCCAACATAGTACTAATTCTTCAATCCCAACATAGTACTAATTCTAACATGGGACAGACAACATGTTCTTTAGCCTACTAACATGATACTTAGCCTACTAACATGACTGACAACATAACGGCTACTCCTATCATGAGACACACAGCATGACACTTCCCCATTAACATTCATGAGACAGAAACACTTGTAGCATAGGCCTACAATAACCCCCCCCCCCTCCCCACGGCGCAAGAGGGCTCCCAACACTTAAACAACATTACAGTAACTTATATAGGCTGTGAGAAGCAAACTAGTTCCTTAACACAATTATCTTGCAGACGAGGAGTCGCAAAATAACGTGGCTGAAATATGTTGACCAGACCACACTAGAAAGTGAAGAGACGACGACGTTTCGGTCCGTCCTGGACCATTCTCAAGTCCATTGAGAATGAACATCCACACACAATTATCTTGGATAGGACAGGAAACTTGGTCTTTGAGAAAGTGTATAGCACTTGAACTGTTAGGAGAAAGGCAGTAAGCTGACCTGTGTAAGCCAGGAACATGACAGGGAAGGCGCTGACGGAGACGGCGGCGAGGCAGGCGAGGATGGCCCCAAGTGCTTGCATGATGCTCCACAAGAGTTGACCAATAACTAGCGACACGTGAGTTGCGGGTCTGGGTGCAGAGCGCGACGGTTCTGTGGACAGTTGTCGGCGGCGTACTGAGTTCTGCGGCCCCGGGTCGTCTGATATATACGTCTGGTGAGGGGGGCGTGGCTCCCGGCCCCGGGCCACGCCCCCCACACGCATACTTATCACTCATTATATGTGTAAGTTAATACACACTACGCACCTCACCCATGAATGTATGTGTGTATATCAGGAAAATAAACACGTGATTAGAAATGTGACAGTGTCAGACCACGGAGGAAAATTGAAACAGGAATTTCCTTAAGTACTTTCGTATACACAATACGCATTGTGTGTATTATATACATCTTAAGGAGTGAAGATGTACATCTTCAGGAGGAGTGCATACTTACATCAACATACTGATGTAAGTATGCATCAGCTCTCATCCTGTAACACCCTTAGGCCTTAGCTCAGTCGATTAAGGCAGCGTTTGGGATCCTCTCGGATGTAGATTCGAGCCCTCGTCACGGCCCTTGTGGATTTGTTCATTTACCCTAGGCAATTATCTTAGCGTATAGATATTATTGCACTTACAGAAACATGGATAAATATAGAAAATAGAGCTAATACCTGAATATCAAATAAACGGATTTAAACAATTTCATACAAATAAGAATTAAAGTAACTGCAGAAGGCCTATTGGCCCATACGAAGCGACTTCTGTTTATATCCACCCAATCTCATCCATATATATGTCTAGGCTACGCTTGAAACAGTCAAGGGATCCTATTTCTATTATGTTACACGGTAATTGGTTCCACAAATCAACAACCCTGTTACTGAAGCAGTATTTACCCATGTCTTTCCTAAATCTAAACTTATCCAATTTATACCCATTGTTTCGTGTTCTGTCTTGTGTTGATACTTTTATTACCATATTAATATCCTCTTTGTTATGTCCATTCATCCACTGGTAAACCTCTATCATGTCAAATACAACAGTACAAATACAAATTTTTATTCAGGTAGAGTACATATTTACAAGATAAGATACCAAGGTTGATGGATTTATAGATAAGAGCTAGTACATACAATGCCTAAAGCCACTATTACGCAAAGCGTTTCGGGCATCACCCCTTAACTCTTCGCTTCTCCAGTGAATGCAATTTAAGCTTTGTTAAACTTTCTTCATATGAAAGATTTCATCTATCAGCATTAAACTACATCTTCCAGGGATGGGGTATGAAGAAGGGAAGGGGACTATTAGGGGGGAAAGCACCAAGCCATTCCGACTATATAGCACTGGGAAGGGATCAGGATAAGGATTTTGGGTTGGGACGGGAAGGAATAGTGCCCAACCACTTGGACGGTCGGGGATTGAACGCCGACCTGCATGAAGCGAGACCGTCGCTCTACCGTCCAGTCCAAGTGGCTGGTGACGGGTATGAAGAATACGACTGACGTCACTGGATGAGAGGAGACACAAAAGGGACATATAAAATACTTATGAGGATTGAGAGTGGGGAAAAAAAAGGCGATCAGAATGAATACTAATAGAACAATGGGCGGGAAACTTGAGAAACAGAAGAGTCACTGAGATGTAAAAAACGTTTTCTTTTACCGTAAGAGAAGTGGGGAAAATGGGATGACCTAAATGACCAGCTTGTGAAAGCTAAATTCGATTCAGAATTTCAAGTAAATATGATTAACAAATAGACCAGGAGTCATTGTATTGAACAGCGAGAAAAATGGCGAGAGGGGGGGAGGGGGGAAACCCAAGGGGTAGAGCTGAATCCTGCAGACACAAACAGGTCTCAGTGGTGTAGTGGTAAGACACTCGCCTGGCGTTCCGCGAGCGCTATGTCATGGGTTCGTATCCTGGGCGGGGAGGATTTACTGGGCGCAATTCCTTAACTGTAGCCTCTGTTTAACGCAACAGTAAAATGTGTACTTGGATGAAAAAACGATTCTTCGCGGCAGGGGATCGTATTCCAGGGACCATAGGATTAAGGACTTGCCCGAAACGCTACGCGTACTAGTGGCTGTACAAGAATGTAACAACTCTTGTATATATCTCAAAAAAAAAAAAAAAAAAAAAAGGTGAAGATACACACACACAATCAACAGGTGTACAGGTTCCTGAGCCTATTGGGCTCTGTCATATCTACACTTGAAACTGTGTAGATATGATAGAGCCCAATAGGCTCAGGAATCTGTACACCTGTTGATTGACGGTTGAGAGGCGGGACCAAAGAGCCAGAGCTCAACCCCCGCAAGCACAACTAGGTAAGTACACACACACACACACACACACACACACACACACACACACACACACACACACACACACACACACATCACTGGGAAACCGATCATCGTTTAATTTTTAAGGCAGGAGCTGTGGAGGTTTTCAGCGATGTGTTGGACCCGTGTGTTGACTCCTCACCCCTGGTGGAAAGCCCAACGCGTGTATTTGGAAACCTGTTTAACCTGTCTGTTGTGGCGAGAAGTTGCTCTCTTCCCTCTATACACGGGGGGGGGGGGGTTATTACGCCTTATTTCAAGGGGGGGGGGGAAGAGGATGTTATTGTTCGGCTGAGTGGGGGATGAGGAGTATATTATTTCTTGCATCAGGGCGAGGATTTTACGGGTTATTCATGCCCGTGCCACCTCTTGGGTGGCTTAATCTTTATCAGTCAATCGGCGAGGATTGTAATATTACTCAGCTCAGGGGAGTAGAGTATTGTCCAGGTCTGGAGAACTGGGTGTATAAGGACAAGGAGCTGGGTGTATGAGGACAAGGAACTGGGGTGTGTGAGGACAAGGAACTGGGGTGTGTGAGGACAAGGAACTGGGTGTGTGAGGACAAGGAACTGGGTGTGTGAGGACAAGGAACTGGGTGTATGAGGACAAGGAACTTGGGTGTATGAGGACAAGGAACTGGGGTGTGTGAGGACAAGGAACTGGGTGAATGAGGACAAGGAACTGGGGTGTGTGAGGACAAGGAACTGGGGTGTGTGAGGACAAGGAACTGGGTGTATGAGGACAAGGAACTGGGGTGTATGAGGACAAGGAACTGGGGTGTGTGAGGACAAGGAACTGGGGTGTGTGAGGACAAGGAACTGGGTGTGTGAGGACAAGGAACTGGGGTGTATGAGGACAAGGAACTGGGTGTATGAGGACAAGGAACTGGGTGTATGAGGACAAGGAACTGGGGTGTATGAGGACAAGGAACTGGGTTGTGTGAGGACAAGGAACTGGGTGTATGAGGACAAGGAACTGGGGTGTATGAGGACAAGGAACTGGGGTGTGTGAGGACAAGGAACTGGGTGTATGAGGACAAGGAACTGGGGTGTGTGAGGACAAGGAACTGGGTGTATGAGGACAAGGAACTGGGTGTATGAGGACAAGGAACTGGGTGTATGAGGACAAGGAACTGGGGTGTGTGAGGACAAGGAACTGGGGTGTGTGAGGACAAGGAACTGGGTGTATGAGGACAAGGAACTGGGGTGTATGAGGACAAGGAACTGGGGTGTGTGAGGACAAGGAACTGGGTGTATGAGGACAAGGAACTGGGGTGTATGAGGACAAGGAACTGGGGTGTGTGAGGACAAGGAACTGGGTGTATGAGGACAAGGAACTGGGGTGTGTGAGGACAAGGAACTGGGGTGTGTGAGGACAAGGAACTGGGGTGTGTGAGGACAAGGAACTGGGGTGTATGAGGACAAGGAACTGGGGTGTATGAGGACAAGGAACTGGGGTATATGAGGACAAGGAACTGGGGTGTGTGAGGACAAGGAACTGGGTGTATGAGGACAAGGAACTGGGGTGTGTGAGGACAAGGAACTGGGGTGTGTGAGGACAAGGAACTGGGGTGTATGAGGACAAGGAACTGGGGTGTGTGAGGACAAGGAACTGGGGTGTGTGAGGACAAGGAACTGGGGTGTGTGAGGACAAGGAACTGGGGTGTGTGAGGACAAGGAACTGGGGTGTATGAGGACAAGGAACTGGGGTGTATGAGGACAAGGAACTGGGGTGTGTGAGGACAAGGAACTGGGGTGTATGAGGACAAGGAACTGGGGTGTGTGAGGACAAGGAACTGGGTGTATGAGGACAAGGAACTGGGGTGTGTGAGGACAAGGAACTGGGGTGTGTGAGGACAAGGAACTGGGTGTGTGAGGACAAGGAACTGGGTGTATGAGGACAAGGAACTGGGGTGTGTGAGGACAAGGAACTGGGGTGTATGAGGACAAGGAACTGGGGTGTATGAGGACAAGGAACTGGGGTGTGTGAGGACAAGGAACTGGGTGTATGAGGACAAGGAACTGGGGTGTGTGAGGACAAGGAACTGGGTGTATGAGGACAAGGAACTGGGGTGTATGAGGACAAGGAACTGGGTGTATGAGGACAAGGAACTGGGTGTATGAGGACAAGGAACTGGGTGTGTGAGGACAAGGAACTGGGTGTATGAGGACAAGGAACTGGGTGTATGAGGACAAGGAACTGGGTGTATGAGGACAAGGAACCGAGGTATGAGGACGGGGTGAAGGAATGGTGCCACCGGGTATCGAACTCCGACCCGGAAGAAACCAGTCCGGCGCTGTGTCGATCAGAGTGGCCACCTAATATACCCCCCGAGGAGTAGTCTTGCAGTGCATGTCCCCCCGAAGACGACACAATATACAAAATTTGTGTATGTCACCCGTGGCTGGTGTTTGAAGAGTAACGAATGCATTAGTTTACATTAAAGGTCAACTTGACTGGCTTTGTAGCGTCTCACTATTCAATGTTTTCCTACTTTAGGAATGTATTGAAATACCAGGTACACGACTCTTTGATTAAAACAAAATATCTAATTTTGACTGTCATATTATGCTTAGTAAATCGCCGTTTTTAATGATAAGAGTTTAGAATTAGGTTAAGTTCATGCACGAGTGAGCAGATAGATGTCTTGATTTGTAATGATAACAGCGAGTGATTGATTGATGAAGATTAAGCCACCTAAAAGGTGGCACGGGCATGAATAGCTCATAAGTGGTGGCCCTTTTGAGCCATTACCAGTATCAAGAGCTGATACTGGAGATCTGTGGAGGTGCGGCTGCACCCTGCGTGACGGGAGATGTCTCTCGTGAACAGCAAATATCATTTTTGGTCTTTATAAATGTATTAGAACTTCTCGACTTCAAATTAAT